CCACAGGAGCTCCCAGCGTAGACAATGACTGCCACCAGGGACAGCAGAAATGATGAGTTGAGGTTGGGATATTTCATTATCCCTCCCTCAGCCCAGCTGCCTGCCAGGTGACCACTTTCATCAGCAGGGCCTGGATGTACTTATTTATTAAAAGTCCATCTGCCTTTATTTACAGTTTGCTGAACTTCTGGGGCTGCCACATCCCCTCTGGGCAGATCCTTCTGTGACCAGATCCTTTGTCACTTTTGTTCCTGCTCCTCAGCCTCACCACCCAGGGATCTGAGGCTGCTGCTGAAGGGAAAAACTTTCCTCTGCATGTGTTGGAACAACTTTTTCTGCTGTTTTTTCCTCTCTGTGGGAAGGACAGAGAGGTGGTGTAGAGGAAGGCTGGAGGGAGAAGGTTTCTTTGTGTCAGGTATCTTTTTCTGCTCGCCTGAATTGTAGGATCACTGAAGGATTTGGGGTGGAAGGGACATTAAAGATCATTCAGTTCCACCCCCTGCCATGGGCAGGGACTATCCCAGGTTTCTCTAAGCCTTGTGCAACCTTGGACACTTCCAGGGATCCAGGGGCAGCCACAGCTTTTCTGAGCAACGTGTGCCAGGGCCTCACCACCCTCTGAGCAAAGAATTTTTTCATAATATCCAACCTAAATCTCCCTTCCTTCAGGGCAATCCATCACAGGAGAATCCACCACATGGAGAACTTCAGCTGCAGTGCTGGGCAGACATGTTGGGTGATGTGTGAACCCACAGGGTGCTCCAGCTTAGGAGAGATGAGGTGGTCATGGGAGAGGAGATGGGGGAAACCATGGTCAAAATGATCTGAATAGGAGCTCTTGGAGTTTCTGTGGTCAGGATGACCCTGAGGTGTGTCAGAGAGTCTCTTCTCCCAGCCTGGCAGCCAAAGGAGTCAGGATTGTCCTGTTCTGCTTTTCAAGGTTGTTTGTTTGCTGTTATCCATTACATTCTTTCTCTGACCTGCTGAGATCTGTCCAGCAGGTTGGGTTGAGGCACACTGACCGCCTTGGGGTGGTGTTATCTTTTTATACTAAAATGACATTATTTACAATAATTTTCCAATACCTATCACCTATGTTAGACAGTCTGTCTCTATCCTAAACCAATCCAAAAATTCCATCATCCCGCAGATGGTGGCTGCTAAGAAGAAGGACAAGGCACACCCAAATCTCTTCAACTTGGCTTCTGAACCCCCATTCTAAAAACTCAAAATTCTACATTTTCACCCTGTGATAAATTCACTAACATTCTATTCAAACTTTTGTGGCTTGTAACTCCTCACACAAAGTTGGGAATTGTTTCCATGGGCTAAAATCGTAGGCACAGGTGTTTGTGACTCTGTGCCAGGGTCTCTGAGCCCCCTGCCAGGGTCTTGAGTCCTCCATGGCTGCCAGAGGAGTGTGCTGGGTTCCAACAAGGCGCCACCATCACTCCTTTCTGCATGCACAAACCTGCCAAAGCCACTGGCAGGTGGCTCCATCCCTTCAGATTTGATTCCTGAGGCAGCTGTGGGTGCTGACCCCAGAGCCTGAACCCTGACTCAGAGCCCAGCTCAGCAGAACGCCCCCACCACCAGACTCCAGCACCAGGTATTTAGAGCTTTTCCAACTGAGGAATTGCATTGAAAAAGTCAGACAGTGAAAGTCAAAAGTTAGGAAGTGGCAGAATTGAGGTCACCATAGGAAAAAGGAATAATAACCTGTGATCCTGTAATTAAAATCTGGCTTGCAGTGTGTAAGTGCAGGCAGCAGATTTGGAAGTACAGAAGCTGCTTTCAGTCTGGCAGTCCCTAATTCCTGAGACCCTGACACAGCAGCCTTAACATTATGTTAAACTCAGGCTTAGTTTAGTTTGGTTTTTCATAAATTCATGCTTTGGATGACGTTATTTTCACCTTATGGCAGATATCAAGGCTGCAAGGCACAACAGTCTAATATGCAGCGAGTTTGGTCCGAAAAGTTTCATTTTTTAAATGTGTATGACCTGTGAACAGCAAGGTAAAATGTGGATTATTATATTCCTGCTCAGTGGTGGGATTGGGAATACAAACCACATTCCTGGATGCTTAATCCATATCCACAGATTTGAACTGAGCCTGTTTAATTTTAGAAAATTCAGATATTTCTGCTGTGCTGCAGCTGAAGGAAACAAATGGGAGACAACAGAACACCTTGAAGAATTTGGGCACTTGTGTTTTGATTCTGAGCCCAAAAAGGTTTCCCTTCCAAGCTATTCCTGGGAGAGGAGCTCCCACACACCCTGTGGAGCTTTAATGGGATTGCTGTGGCTGTTTGTTTTATGGAAGTGCTTGGAAAAATCTCAGGTCAGCATTTTGCCTTTAGGCTTTTGTCCCACCATGGGGGACTCAGAGTTTTGGGGATATTTAATGGGCTGTTGGTCCAACCCTCTGGAGAGTGCCCATTTAAAATTCCTGATCCAGCATGTGGCAGTGCCAGAGGAGATTTAATGGGATGAGGACTCCTGGGGAGCAGAGAACAGGAGCTGCACTGCTCCTTTTGCTCTCTCAAACCTGCAAAGTGTGCTGAGAATGACCTAAATATCCCTTTATGGGTTCTTCCTTTGGAAATACAAAACTTTGACAGAAAGATGGAGAAACTGGAGTTTGGAGTTGGGGTTATCACTTTATCCAGTCATTCCTTAGAGAGAAGCCAAGCCTTGAAGTTTTAGCCAGCCCCAAGCTTTGTAACATTTGGATTAACCACATATAGAGATTTTTCGCGTGCGTTTCCATGGATCCTCATCTGCAAATACCCGTGCACAAGGGTGCAGTCTCTTTTCCAAGGAGTAGGGATGCTGAGGGGTGATCTTGGAGCTCCAGCAGCCCCCAGGTTCTCTCACAAGTGAGACTCTGAAGTCTGGGAGCAGGTGAATAATTTAACATCCGCACTTAAGTCTTTATAGCTGCTTTTAATGGGGGGTAATAGCACTGCTAATAACAAAATCCATTGAAGACACCCTGTGCAAGTCCATAACATTAACTTAATGGCAGGAGGTAATTGGCATGCAGCTGGAGCTGTCCTTTTGGATTAACCCTGTGGATTTCCAAGCAGACACCTTCCTTGGAGCAGTGGCCTTGGCAGCGGGTGTCGAGTGAATTACAGATGTGGTTTATGTTAAATGAGTGCAAACCTGGGTGGAAATGGGGCAAACAGCCACCAATCCACTTTTCTGGGTGGTGTTTGCACCTCACAGATGAGATGAGGGGTAGTGACAGCACTGAAAACATCAACAATTAATGAGTGGTGTGAACTTCATGCATTTGTGCAGCCCAAGTGTGTGCACACAGATTTCACTGGGCTGTCACTTACCTGAATTTTTAAGATTCAACTCTCAGCACTTCTAGTCAGCCATTTTCAAGACATGTAGAATTATACTCTTTTCTGACCTAGAGATGGGGCAACTGAGAGGTGTTTTAAAAACTTTTATTCTATTTTTAGTCTTATGAGAAAGGTGAGACAACACGCATGTCATAATTCACACCATCAGAATCAGAACCTAACTACTTCTGAATTACAATACATTATAAGTATTTATTGGTCTATCCCACAAAGGCAGATGCAAAAAACTCCTTAATCTGCAGGGATAACTGCTTGGGGGCTGGCTCCATCCCAGAGGTGAGGTACCAGCAGCTCAGAGGCACCACAAGTGTGCAGCATTCTCAGGAGGGACAAAAACCATGGGCTGTGCATGGCTTCCCTACAAGGACAGCCCTGCCTGAAGCGTTCCCCAGCCCTTGGGCAGCAGAGTTTGAAGGGCTGGGGGTTTGGCCCAGGGAAGGTTGTGCTGGTGTGTGGGGAGACAGAGAATTCCTGCAGCTGGGATGGAGCGTTCACCCATCACCCTCCCTCCTCTTACAGGTTCCTTGTGACTTCTCAGTCTGCTTGAGCAACCCCACAGCTGCCAGCAGCAGTTAATGCTCTCAGGCATGTGGTGGGGCTCTTGGGAATGTCCTGTGCAGGGCCAGGAGTTGGGCATGATGACCCTTGTGGTTCCCTTGCAGTTCAGGATATTCCCCACGATCCCATGAGCGCGCCAGGGCGCAAGTGTGGTTTTCCACTTGTGCCCTCCCAAAGAGCACAAAGAGCTGACTTTCTGTCCACACTAACTGAAATAAACACGGGCAGGAGACCTTTCTCCTTTTTAATGCCTTTATTAAAAGTGATCAGCTTGGGTGGGGAAAACTAATGGGTCCGTGCTCACACCACCACTACTCCCAGGAGTGACTCCAAGGAGGAGGAAGAGGAACAGTGCAGCTTTGTCCACTGGTCTGTGGGCAGAGCTGGGGGTTCTCTCCTCATGAGAGGATCAAGAGGTTCTCTGCTTTCCTGGTTTAACATTTGAGGTCCTCTGTCTATCTGACATGTTAGGGTGAGGGGTAAAAAGGGTCTTAGCAGATACTAGATTCTGTTCTTCACGTCTAGACATCACTTTGATTCATCCATTTCATGTCAGCTCGTTGTTTTTAGGAGTTTTTGGCTAGGTTTGGTGAGGGGTCTCTCCCATTGCGTGCTGGATCCAATGTCATTTGCATGCCAACTCCAATGTCCCCTCCTCTTCACCATCTGGGTGCCATCCTCTAGGAAGCAGCAGGGTATCACTGGATAAAAGGGGGAATTCTTAACTATGAATGACAGGTAGTTAATGAAAATGATAGGTGATTACAAAAACAAACAGTTAGAACTCCACCCTGGCAGCAACTGCCTAACCTGTGAACTCTGCAACCTTTTAAAAAAATGGGCAGCTCTTTCTACTTATAACACCCTGCAGCTCAGGATATTCCCCACCATCCCATGAGCGGGAGCGCGCCAGGGTGCGAGCATGGTTTTCCATTTGTGCCCTCCCAAAGAGCACAGAGCCGACTTTCTATCCCACAGTGCTGCTCCCACTGCCCAGGGCTGTCCCCACGCTGCCAGCCTGGCTGTGTGCTCACCCTGTCCCTGTGTGTTCGTGTTTCCCCAGCTGCACGAGGAAGGAGCGGTGCGAGCGCTCCAGCGAGCCGCGCAGATTCGCCTCGGAGATGAAGCAGTGCGTCCGCCTCACCGTGCACCCCAACAACATCTCCGTGTCCCAGTACAACGTTCTGGTGAGCAATGACAACCCCTGCCCCATCCCCTCAGGTTTTACATGCCCGTGCAACGTGGCAGATCCAGGGATTCAGCAGCAAGAGGTTCTCCAGACTCCGTTAAGTTCCCCAGCGGCTCTGCTGGCACAGGGAAGGATTCGCCACAGGAAGACATTTTGGCATTGGTTATTCTCTGACACTTTGCTATTGGTTATTTGTTAAGAAGTCTTGAAGTGGACTAGGAAGAGTCTGACTTCTTGTCTGTGAGGACAGGTCTGAAGGGACTCTGTGTCCTGCAAGCGTTTTGTGTTGCCATGGGAGAGGAATTAATGAATAGCTTTAGGCAAGGAACATTTTTGTGGTTAGAAATTGCATTCTAGAAGAAAGCCAAGTGAAGGATGATATGAGTTATTTCAGTGAGCTCCAAGTTCCTATCATTTTGGATGGAAATATCTCCTTCTAAGCCCCCAGGAAGCCCATCCTGGTCCAGCACTAGGCATGCAGAGCAGAGAGGCAGGATGCTGCGCAGGGGAACCCAAGGCTTTCAGGGCTCCTGCTGTCTTCTGTGACCTTCCACAGCACAAGGTTTAACCTTTCTGGCTTCCAGCTACTCAGACAGCAGCCAAGGAAACCACACAGTGAATGCTGGCAGCACAGCAGATGATTCCGATAATCCCTGGGCTTGAGGCAGGAAATCTCTGCTGAAGATCTGACCAGTTTGTGGTTTCCCTCCTGACTCATGGCAGCAGCACCAGATGTGGTGAGATCCCAACATGCTCCAAAAAGGAGACAAAACCACATTTCTCTCAGGCTACCAGTGCTCTTTTTTACCATATTAATTTGGGCTGCAATTAAATTAATAAACCAGGCCCCAGAAGCTCCATCCCTAGACAAGCTGGTCATTAGCCCCACACCCTGAAAGGCCTAAATGGAATTTAGGTACCTGCCAGACCCCTTCCAGCAGGTGACAAGTTTGGATTTCTCCAGGGATAATGAAATCAGCCTTTCAAAGCCTGCATGTCCAATCATTGCTGCTTTGTTTCAGCCTCTTAACTTTGCTGTGACTTTACTTTCCCCAGGCTTCAAACAAAACTGATCTGAGACATCTTAAGTTCTTTGTTCTTCTGGGAGTTCAAGGTTTCCTTTCCGTATTCTCTCAGTAGCTGTTGAATTCTTTCATGTTGGAATAAATCCTGGGGGACTGGCTGGCTCGGGGAGACTGAAAATGATAACAGAATAAGAGACCTTTTCCTCTGGGTTACTCCCAGGGTGAGTCAGCCCAGAGCTGCTGGGATCAGAAGTTGCCATCATCTGTTACCCAACAATCTGCATGGGCCTTTTGATGGAAGTCTCAGCCCAGTCCCAGCTAAACTGGTGACCCAGCTCATCCCATCACCAGAGGCAAACCAGGAGGGGAACAAACAGAGGGTTGATGATGTCCTTGGCAGATCTCAAATCTGGAATGCTAGGATCTTGAGTTCTAGCAAAGTGTCAGTGACAGTGGAGGCAGAGCAGCCATGTGAGATCAGCCATGCTTTTAAATTTTGGGCACTAACAGGGCCTTGGAAAATCTAACCTGAGTCTGTTTCACTGCTCTGGGCTCTCTGAGAGGAGCTGCTTGCTGAGGGAAGGCTCCATGCTTTCCCTGCTGTCCCAGGAGTGTGGGATGTAGGACTTCTTGTCTGCTTGGCGTGTGCACTGGCTCATGGAACTTGTGGCCAAGCACTGGTGTACCCACCAGTGTCATCTTCTGCATGGCACAGCTTCCTCCTGCATCACCCATACCCAGAGGGAGATTGGTTAAGAGGACAGATTCCAGATTCCACTGCTAGCAGGGAGAATGAATTCAGCCTCAGTGCAAAACCCATCCAAACAACCAAACCTTTTTCCTGTTCCCCATCCGAAACAAAAAAATAATCACCTTTCCCACTGCCATTCCCATGGCCCCCAAATGATCCTACTCTCACAAAGGTTTAATGGCATCCAGGGCTAAGGCCTGTTTGCTCAGCCTTCCTCCCTGATGGTCCTCAGTGTGGAGAAACAGCTCCAGCCTTTCCCTAAGAGAGGAAAGCACAGTGTGTGGGAGCACTGAGTGTCACCTTCTCATCTGCCCTGCTTTGTCACCTGGACTGACCCCTGCTCTTTGTGCTGGTACAAGCAACACCTCAGCATGCACCTGTGTCTCCTTTCAGTGGCTGTCACCTCAGAGGGACCTCAGCCAGCTCAGGGACGAGGCAAGTGTGGAAAACTTCTGCATTTGAGCCTGTGCTGAGTGGTTGGCTCCAGTGTTTGGTCACAAAACCACTAAATTTACACCAATTACCAGGTGCTGGGGTCCCCTAGGGTGCCCTCTGTGTTCAGGCATGGCCTGGTGAGTTGAGCAGGACCCTCAGTGATGGAGAGCCGTGGGACAGGACCTTTGTTTGGGAAGCTGGCAGCATGACTGTGCTCTTCCAAAGCATGGACATGGTGCAAACCGGCCCTGAGATTCATTTTCCATGACCATGAGCAATGCCAGAGGGTGTTGCGAACTCCAAAAACACAAGCAAATCCTCCTTCATGGCTTTTTTTCCCATATGGAGCCCCACGATAGCACGAGGAACCAGCTGGTTCTTCAGTGGGATGGGCAGGAGAGGTTTCTGTGCCCGCGGAGACAGGGGATGATTTTGTGGTGGACTGAAGGCTGTTGTGACCGTGTTCACAGGGGTCTTAGGTTGAGGGAAGAGATGAGGATCTGACTCCATGTTTCAGAAGGCTGATTTATTATTTTATGTTATATATTACATTAAAACTGTACTAAAAGACTAGAAGAAAGGATTTCATCAGAAGGCTAGCAAGGAATAGAAAAAGAAAGGATGATAACAAAGGTTTGTGTCTCGGACTCTTTGTCCGAACCAGCTGGGCTGTGATTGGCCATTAATTAGAAATAAACCAACATGGCTAATCACAGATGCACCTGTTGCATTCCACAGCAGCAGATAATCAATGTTTACATGTTGTTCCTGAGGCTTCTCAGCTTCTCAGGAGGAAAAATCCTCAGGAAAGGATTTTTCATAAAAGATGTCTGTGACAGGCTGTAACTAGACTCTCCTCACACAGGAAACTTGGGGACAGTGTGCTCCCCCCTGCTGGTGCTGGCAGAGCAGCCCGTAGAGAGTTAGACTGGAGCGCTCCAGTTTCTCTGGAGTCTGCAGAGTGCCTCTTGTGAGTAGCAGTCACCTTCCTCAGAAACCCTGGGGGCCACCACAGCCCTGGGACCCACGGCTGGCTCCAAAGACTCCCTGCCTAACCTGACACCTGCATGACAGACAGCGAGCACTCCCTGCCCTGCACCTCCCAGCCAGCAGTGGGACACTGTGCAGGTGTCCCTGCACAGCCACCTGCCACCTGTGCCAGCACCAGCATCTCGTGCCCTTCCCTCCTCACTCGTCCCTCTCCCCAGTCGCTGCTTTCTGCTGAAGGAGGATGCTCTCTCTAGCAAGAGGCTCTTTGTGCGACCTCTCCAGTGTAATTCTCTCCTGCTGGCCCAGCTCTGGTGTTTGGCTGAGTGTTCTCTCTTCTCTCTTTTCCTGCCTCTCCTTCTCTCCCTCCGTCTTTGCCTGCAGCTGGTCCTGGAGACCTACAACGTCCCTGAGCTGTCTGCAGGAGTCAACTGCACCTTCGAGGACCTCTCGGAGATGGATGGGCTGGTGGTGGGCAGCCAGATCCAGTGCATCTCTCCAGCTGCCAAGGAGGTGCCCCAGATCATCACAGAGAATGGTGAGTACCCCACAGCTCCTCCACCTGCACCTCCCACTCCCATCCTCACCCCACACCCTGCATCTGTTCCTTGATGCCCTGTGAATCTGAGCTAGAGCAGAGGCTGGGCAGAGTTCCAGAATAAAGCAAGGATTTATGGAAAGGATCTCCTCCATGGATCCCCCTTGGGCAGCACCAGAGCCCAGCCAGGGCTGCACCCAAGATGAACCAAAACGGCCCCAAAATGCACGAGCGCTCCTGGGGTCTCTCCCTGGGATCAGTTCTGCTCCATTTGCCCCTTGCAGTTCATTGTCCCATTCCAGCTTCAGCCCAGGCAGTCCCACCCTGCTTGTTTTTCTCTCTGCAGCCCACGGGGTTTGTGCTCCTGGGCTGAGATTTGGGGCATTTGTCCTTGGTGCCCAGCTGGAGCAGGAGTTGTTTTGTCTCCCTGCTCTGTGCACAGAGCTCACTATTCCCTAATATGAAGCTCAGAACTGCACACTAAAGCAGCACAGAATCTGAAAAAAAATAAAAGCTAAAACCTGAGGCATCATGCTGCATCCTCACAAAGCAGGATTTGGCTCCTGAGAGCCTGAGGAGATGGCAAGGAAAGCCCTGAGAGCAGGAGGGACTCTGGAGCTGCACATCATGGCAAAGTTTTGTGGATGTGAATGTTTCAGAAGCACCAGCCTTGAGCTGCAGCCCCAGCATCTGCCCTGAGGTGCTCCTCTGTGTGACACGAGGTGTTTGCAGGCTGCCACCGAGTGGCAGTTGCACAAATCCAGCAGAGACATGACATGGATGTGAGATATTCCCTCTCCTTTTTGCCAGGCTGGAGTTACACACCAGGGGTACAGGCTCCAAACACATCTCATCCCGTGTAACAGATAGAAATTCCTGCAGAGCTGGACAATCCTGTCTGTAATTTCACCCTGCTCCTCCCAGATTTAAGTCTGTGTGCTCAGCTCTCTGTCTCCATTCCTGGCCTTTACTGCCTTCAGCTGTTCCAGATTTGGTTCTGGCTCCTTCTCCCACAGTGGTCCAGCACAGAAAATGCCTTGACTCCAAGGGTGCTTCCCCTATCCACAACATCCTGCACTTTTTTCTCTCTCTTTTCTAACAAACTTTCTGGGTAATTTCAAGAATTCCTGTGGCTCTTTACAGGGACTTATTACAAAAACCTTGACCCTGCTATCACCTCCATGAGACACAGGGAGGATGCTGCCAATTTTTGTCCTTGGCTTCCTGTGAAAATTTGCTGTAAAATTTCCCTCTGGGGATCCTCAGACCACAGAAAATGAGGTGACAGGGACTGTCACCATCACCTGTGCTCTCCCTGAGCTGCACACAGCTGCTGTGCTCTGCACTGCAGCCCCAAAACAAGCTCCCAGGAGGTTGTCACCACTCTCAAATCCCACTGAGTTATCAGTCATGTTTGCTTACCAAGACAGGCACCAGAAATTCTTTCCTTGCTATGGACATCTGTCCCAGGCCAGGCTATCATCAACCAGCAAGCAAAAACAGCAGTGAAAGGTGGAGACAGGAAAAGAGGGAGAGATTTATCTGCTTTCAGGGCACCTGCAGCTTGTCTCAGCTTCAGAGCTGCTGCTCTGCACCTCTGCAAAAACCAAGTTCTCCCCACAGTGCCAGAGGCTGGATTTGAACAAAGAATGTGTGACTATCACACCTATCCAATCCTCATATCCTGGTTTAAAATACCTGCAAGATTCTGGCAAAGTTGTTAAATATGGCAAAGCAGATGTGCAGCAGGGCCAAGCAAGAGGTGTCCAGTGGAGTGTGTGGGGTGTGTGTGCCCCAAGGTGGGTGAGTGAGCACCAGGTGCTGATTGTGACTTTACCCCTTGTCAAGTTTGCAGTGGCCTCACTGATTAATGAACCTTTTAGGTGAGGAGGAAAATTATGCAATTATAGACTGGTTTGGGTTGGAAGGGCCTAAAAGATGATCTCATTCCAACCCCCTGCCAAGGGCAGGGACACCTTCCACCATTCCAGGGTTCTCCAAGCCCTGTCCAACCTGGCCTGGGACACTTCCAGGGATCCAGAGGCAGTCACAGCTGCTCTGGGCACCCTGTGTCAGGGCCTTGCCACCCCCACAGGGAAGAATTTCTTCCTGATATCCAATCTAAATCTGCCCTCTTTCAGTTTAAGGCCGTTCCCCCTTGTCCTATCACTCTGTGCCCTTTTATAAATAACAGGAGAAGGGCCACCCAGGTAAATCTTGAATTAAACCTGGGTCACTTCCACTGCACCCACTGATTGCCCTCTCTGAACTGTGGGGAGAAGCAGCAGCTGACTGCCCAGCTTGGGAGCATTGGGCGAAGGGATGGGGAAATGGTGTGGAGGAGCTGAGGTGAAAAGGGAAAGCTGCAGAAATGGCTGGATCCCTCTGGAAGTGCAATGGATTTCACATCTCTCACACTGAGATGGGTTCTTTGCAGCCACAGGCTGAGGAGAATGAAGCTTAGGGTGAGTGGGGCGAGTGAACATTTAAGGAATGTCCACATGCTCTTTTTCTCTGGGAACATTGAGTGAACCAGCGGTATGGACCAACTTTAAGGACAAAATTATACTTTAATGGCCTCCAAATTCCAGACATCTGCACTCACTCTTTGAGCTTGGTTTTCCTACCTGATGAATTCAGTCACCACATTTTTGAAATTGGATCTGCTGTCACCCTCCAGTCCAGACTCTGCTACCAGGCACAATAATTTCCAGTGGCAAAAACATACTGTACCTGTGGGAGAACTGGGCTCTAGAAGGAATTTATAACACTTTTTACATCTATTTTACATCTGTACTGAGGACAGCCCAGCCAAGGTGCTGTGGGACAGCTCCAGGCTCAGGTTGGTGGCCTGGCCAGCAGAGCTAACAGAGCAGTCATACCCTGATGTGTGATGGTGTTCACAGGGATCTCAGGTTGAGGGAAAAGTTGAGGATCTGACTCCATGTTTCAGATGACTGATTTATTATTTTATGATATATATTATATTAAAACTATACTAAAAGAATAGAAGAACAGGTTTCATCAGAAGGCTAGCTAAGAATAGAATAGAAAGGAATGATAACAAAGGTTTGTGGCTTGACTCTCTGTCCGAGCCAGCTGACTGTGATTGGCCATTAATTAGAAACAACCACATGAGACCAATCACAGATGCACCTGTTGCATTCCACAGCAGCAGATAATCATTGTTTACATTTTGTTCCTGAGGTCTCCCAGCTTCTCAGGAGGAAAAATCCTCAGGAAAGGATTTTTCATAAAAGATGTCTGTGACACTGATGTGCCTATTTATCCCTCCAGGCGACCATCACATTGTCCAGCTGCAGCTCAAGTCCAAGGAAACGGGGATGACCTTTGCCAGCACCAGCTTTGTCTTCTACAACTGCAGCGTCCACAACTCGTATGTTCTGTTCCTTTGGTACCAGTTTCTCGTGGGCACGTATCCCTCAGGAGGATGTTAAAGTGTGGAGGTGACCAGGGGCTGGGGTCACTTGTGTGATGTCCACAATGGTAGGTCCCTCCTGAGACAACTCAGAGTGTGGGGACCACTCAATCTGCAGGCAGAGCATCAAATTAGGAGCAATTTGCCACAGAATTGAGTCAAAACTAAATTGTGCCGTCAGCACATGTGACCCCGGCTGGGGTCTCTGTACAAATCATGAACGGGATGGGGCTGCTGTGGGACGTGCCTTGAGCTGTTTTATTTTTCAGCATCAGCCTCATTCCACGGTTATGACAATGGGAAGATGCCAGCAGCTCACATCCCAGGCAGCAGACCAAGAACTTAATGTTACAACTTACTTTGTAAGTTTTTTGACCAATCACACAAAGCAAAAGCACATTGACAGCAGTTCTATCCAACCACTGTAAGCACAGGTACCTTTGGTTAAACAATGCTTGCTTATTTTGAATACAATACCTGCTTGTAAGCCTTAAAACACAATCCACAGAGCTCCATTATTAAGGTTTTTATTATTATTAACCTTCCTAATATCTTGCTAGATAAAGTTTTCTGTAGCTTAGAGAGTTATTCTAGACAAGAGTTAATACATAGACCATTGTTCTATTTGTGCTTGCTTTTCTACAGTTAAAATATTTTTTTTGCTGACCAATCTCATGGCTGCTGCTTAGCTCTAATCACAGTTCTGCTGTCTCTGAGGCTGCCTTTTGCAGCTTTCCCAAAACCTTCTAATTTTGTGGATTCCCACACACATGGTCCCGTTATTTTCCTACTGCTCATTTTTTGGTGGATTTTTTGCTCCTCATATGCACCTCCAACTCTCATCCATGCTGCCAGTCCCACCAGTAGCCCACCGTAGATGGTTAACATAGACTTAAACCCCCCAACCTGGAAAAATAAAGCTCATGGTTCCTGCAGGGCAGGCACTGAGCCCATCTGTTCCCTCAAGACCACGTTACCCACGATGTGAGCACCTTCCCTGCCTCACACCCTGTTTTTCTCAGATTTTGCTGCCACCCAGGAGCTGCCCCAGTGGAGCAGACCCCCAAATGCCTGCAGAAGATGCCCTTGCAGCAGGCTGCCCCAGCCCTGTGCAAGGCTGAATGGCTCTGTCCCCACCGCTGAGCCGTCACAAGTGCCAAAAGCAGATAATTACTGCGGCTCAGCAATTCACAAGGAAAGGCAAATCTTATTTCCATGTTCCTGCTGCTTTGACAAACAGTGTCAGAAAGCAAGTGTTGGGGAAGAGGGGGGAGAGCAGCAGAGATGGTGCTGTTAAATATTTATGGCGTGTTTTGGTTTCTTACTTGACAAACTATAATACGCTATCCATTTTTAATTCGATATATCAGAGCAAGCGCTTGTTACCAATTTGAAGAATAAGTTGCTGTACCAGAGCTGAGAGTGGATTGGGGTTGAAAAAGATTTCACAGAGACAGGAGAGAGGGGGTGTGTTTGCCTGTTGGGCTCACACAGGAGCTCTGGAGTTTTTCTCTCCTGCCCATTAAAAACCCAGTGGCATAGAAGGACCAGGAAAATTCACTTCCCTGAAGTCTCCTCAAGGTACCCTCCTTGTACTGCAGCTGCATAGAATCAGAAAATTTTAAAGGTTGGAAAAGCCCTCCAAACCCCCTAAATTGTTAAGGTTGGAAAAGCCCTCTAAGGTTGGGCCCTCTAGAAGCCCAACCTAAAATTGTTAAGGTTGGAAAAGCCTTCATAGAATCATAAAATTGTTAAGATTGGAAAAGCCATCTAAGACCCCTAAATTGTTAAGGTTGCAAAAGCCCTCATAGAATCAGAAGATTGCTAAGGTTGGAAAAGCCCTCTAAGATCACCAAGCCCAAGTCAACCAGCACCACCACCATGGTAATCATTAAACCTTGTCCCCAAGTTCTTTTTGACACTTCCAGGGATGGTGACTCCACCACTGTCCTGGGCAGCCTGTGCCAGTGCTTTACAACACTTTCCATGAAAAAAAATTCCTAATATCCCATCTAAACCTCCCCTGGCACACTTGAAGCAGTTTCCTCTCATTTTGGCACTTGTTACCTGAGACAAGAGCCTGGCTGTCCCCTCCTGGCAGGGACTTGTGCAGAGCCACAAGGTCCCCCCTGACCCTCCTTTTTTTCAGGCTGAGACCCTTCCCAGCTCCCTCAGCTGCTCCAGACCCTTCCCCAGCTCCATTTCCTTCCCTGTACACTCTCCCACCCCTCCAGGTGTTTGTCATGAAGGTCTCCAGAGTGTGAATGACCAGGACTGTGCAGAGAGCAGGGTTTGGTTGCTGCTGAGCAGACATCACATTAAATTGAAAGGGAAGTGTGATGTAGGTCCAGTCAGTGCTGTAACACAGCCAGGGGAGGTGTTTGCAGCCCTGACTCTGTGCACAGGAGAGCAAAACCTTGTAAGATGGAGAGAATGGCTCTTTCCTGCACCCAGAGGAGGTGATGCCCTAAATATGCCCTCTGCTTCCCAGGTACCTGCTCCAGTAGTCTTTACTTGTCCTCTGAGATGAAAAGTATGAGTGAATATATTGGCAGGAACCTCATCACCCTGATCAGAACTCACACCAAGAAACCTGTGGAACCCAGGGGGAGAAAATTCCGTGCTTCACCTTTAGTTTTCTGGCTTTGGTACATCCCAGTTTGTCTCTGGCCTCTGTATCATGTGTGGGAGAATTAACCAGACTGGATTTTTGGTGCCCAGAGCAGCCAAAATATAATAAATATTTATTATTCCTCTAGTTGCAGTGATATGAATACAATCTAAATTATTTAATCCTATCAGACATTTGAGATGCCAGTGACAACCAGCTCAGGCCAGAGCAAATCTAGCTCTTTGGGTCTGTGCAAAGCCTGTGTCCTCCTGCAAAAACAATTCTCCAGGCTGTGGAGAACATGTCCCATTTTCATCTGGGAAAAGCTGTCAGTAATGCCTTGGACTACCTAAAACAGAGGCTGGACAGAACTAGAGAATAAAGTGGGGATTTATTAAAGGCATTAAACAGATACACCCTGGGCAGTGCAAGAACCTGGCAGAGGCTACACCAAAGACAGACCCCAGATGGATGATGGTCATGAGTTTTTTGGGCAGATATGTTTGGTCTATTTGCATATCAGGGGTCCATTGTCCAATTGCAGCTTCAGGTGATGAAGTCACATTCCCCCAGTTTGCTCCTCCCAGTTCACTTTTGTTTGTACTTTTCAGGCCTAGGCCTGTGAGGTGTCCTTGGTTCTCAGGGCAGAGGGATTGTTCTGTGTACCCAAACTGTGAGGAGAGCTCACAAGCACTGCAGGGAGTTCAGAGCCACACACTGATGCAGAACAGGATCTGGAATATGTAAAAACTAAAATTTAAGGCCCCATAAGGACTCAGCTGGCCGAGTGATTGCTCTCTGTGTCTGTTGCAGGTGCCTGTCGTGTGTGGAGAGCCCCTACCGCTGCCACTGGTGCAAGTACCGGCACGTGTGCACCCACGACCCCAGCTCCTGCTCCTTCCAGGAGGGACGAGTCAAGATGCCTGAGGTAGGCACACCACACACCTGGGATGCTCAGGGCTGGTGTCACCTTCACAGAATTCACAGAATCCCTGGGTTGGGAGAGACCTTCAAGCCCATGGAGCCCAGCCCAGCCCTTGGCACCCAGTGCCACCTCCAGGCTGGTTAAACACACCCAGGGATGGTGACTGCACCCCCTCCCCGGGCAGCCATTGCAGAACTTTCTCCCCCTTGCTGGAAAAGCTTTTTGCTGCTCTCCAAGCTGGATTTCCCTTGGCACAGCTCAGGCTGTGTGCTCTGGCTGTGCCAGTGCTGCTGGAGCCAGAGCCCAAGGGCAGCTGGGCACAGGCACCTTTCAGGAGCTGTGGGAGTGCTGGGGGCACCCTGAGTCTCCTTTCCTGCAGGCTGAGCACCCCCAGTTCCCTCAGGGCTCCTCTCAGGGTTTGTGTCCCAGCCCCTCTCCAGCCCCGCTGCCCCTCTGGCCCTGCTCAGTGTCCCAAGGTCCTGCCCAGGCTGAGGGGGCAGAGTTGGCACAGCCCTGGAGCTGAGCCCTGCCCGTGCCAGGGCAGGGCTGTGACCTCCCTGCTGCTGTGCCCTCCATTGTGGCACAGCCAGGTGGCACTGGGTCCTCCCTGCTGCTGTGCCCTCCATTGTGGCACAGCCAGGTGGCACTGGGTCCTTGGGCACCCCACCAGGGCACAGTGACCTCCCTGCTCCTGCTAGCCTTGTCAGCCCACAAAGCCTTCTCCATCTCCAGTCCCACCCTTTCCCTCCTCTGCTCGCCCTCCCCATTCTCTCTGCAGGAATCTCCTCTTCTCTCTGCTCTGCCACACCCCAGGGACCTGATCCCTCCCTCCCTCCTGCACACCACAGGCAGTGTAGTGTGGAAAATGGATTTGTAGAGAATTCTCAAAATGTGACAGAGAGCTCACATCTGTATGCAAACTTTGAGATGAGAAATGCTGACTTAGGAATGCCCTAGAATGGGACAGACATTGCTGAGAGAAAAATGGAACTGGAAACAAGTTCCAAAGGGTGGCCTTGCAAATAAGAGTGGATGCTTTGGAGAAATAGAACTGTGAAAGATGCATTGTAGTAGGAGCCACGAGGGGTAATTTTAGATGATTGGCCTTAAGGCATTTACAGCATGGTGTGGCTAAAGCTGATAGACCAAGAAACACTTATAATGCATTGGAATTAAGAAATAATTGGCTTCTGATTGTGATGGTGTGAATTATAACATCTGTATTGTCTCACTCTTCACATGAGACTGAAAATGAAATAAAAGTTTTTAAACGCCTATCAGCTGCCCCATCTCTGGGTCAGAAAAGAGCATAATTCAACAGTGTGTGACCTTGGAAACTCATCACAAACTCCTGGCCCCAAAGCTCTGGCAGGGATGGTAAACACTGGGTGTGCATCTTCTCCAAGAGAGAAGGAGGTTACCAACCCCAGGGGAGAATTTAGGGCTTTGGCTGGGGTTCAGTAGATTCCAGCTCTGTTTGGAACACCTCTGGGGCTTTGTGGGTTTGGTGCCTAATGGCAGATGCATCCAGCTGCCCCCGAGATTGCCACTGACTGAGCTGAACTGGAGCTTGAGTCTTAAGACAGAGCTGTAAATGCTGCCTGGCTGGTGTTGTAAGCAAGGAGCCCTTGCAGGCAAGGAGAATACAAATAGGAAATCACTAATTCCTTCCTGGTGCCACATGTAGTGTCTGTGACATTGCCATTCCCTCCCACCCCTTCTGTAAATGCTGGTGGAGCTGTCACATTTGTGCTGGTTGAGATGTCCTGCATCAGATGTCCTGACCTGCTCTGGCACTGGGAAAAGCCATAAATACTCATGAGTTCTCCACCTGCCAGGATTCAGGATTTTCTGTAGAAGTACTGGAAAATGTGCTGAGGAGCTGGAGGGTTTGATGCCCTGAGCTTGGTGGTGGAGGGGTGAGGAGAGGCAGCCCAAGGTTATTCCAAATTATTGGGTTATTCTAAAGCCTTGTCACACTTTGGCCAGTCCTGCTGGCCACAGGTTTCTGTCCCATCCACTCCAGGCACTGTGGGAACCTCATTTTCTCACTCAGTGGGATCTTCTGGGACACTTTGTCCCAGTTTTCCACTGTGCCATGTCACCACCCCCACCCCTGCTCTCCTCTGGTGTGCTTCAAGCACAGGACTCACCATCCCAGCTCCCCTGCCCAAAGTGAGATGCCCACAAACCTCAGTGGATCTCCTGATCCACCAGAAAGGAGATCATGAGAGTTATCCCAGTTTCTTAGGGTAGGGACAGGGGGTGGCACAGCCACTGCTCTTTGCTTTGTTCTCTCCAAGGTGTTGCTCTGCAGAGCTGAGGAGAGGCAGGAATTCATCAAACTCTGCCTGGTTTTAGCTTCATCACCTCTCTTCTGTCTAGTTCTGTTTCTGAAAGATGTCCTCCTCAGGAGGCAGCTCCATTCTGGGGGGCTTTGTCAGCAGAGTTTGCTGTTCGTCTCTTCTACCCCCTTTAACAGAGAATTCCCTGCTAAGCTTTGTGTACTCCCTTTCTGATCTTGTAAAAGTTAGATTTTGATGGCAGCAGGAAGAGGCACAGACCTGACCTTGGAAAGCCACAACTGATCTACGAGGCAATGACAGCATCAGGGATGTTACACTGCTCACTGCTAATGGGGGCTGCAGCATTTCTTTGCCTTCTCTGGGCACAAATGGGATCTCATTCCTCTGGGATCCAACATTTGGAATTATCTGCTAAACTCAGGAGCTGGTTTTGCTGTCTGCTCCACAGAGGAAGGAATGGAATGATAAAATCTGCAAGAATAAAGGGCTTGCAACTCCCAGAACTTTCAGAGCTTGCATTGTGCCTGGCAGTGTGAGAAGTGCCCTGCAGCTTCAGGCTTCTTCTCATTCCCTCTGTGTGTTTGTGCCTCTCAAGGGCTGGGGAAGGATGGTATCACAAGTGCCCTCTGACAAACAGATTTGCAATCACTCTGTGGCCAGAAAGGTTGTTTTTTGATTTTTTTTCTTTTTTGTCAAATGGCACTTTGAAGGAATGTCTATCTCCCACGCTTCTCCTCAAAGCCATCTTCTCACTGACTCACTGCTCTCACCAAAACTTCCACTGCCTGTTTTTCACTGTCACCTGCACTTCTATCATTTTTGGTCCTGTGCACTTGAGAGGGTTCTCTGAACAACAGAAACCATTCAGTTCCCTGAAGAAGCCCAGCCTGGCTCCTCACTGCCAGCCCAGACTGTGACCGTGTTCACAGGGGTCTTAGGATGAGGGAAGAAGACGAGGATCTGACTCCATGTTTCAGAAGGCTGATTTATTATTTTATTATATAAATTACATTAAAACTATACTAAAAGAATAGAAGAAAGGATTTCATCAGAAGGCTAGACAAGAATAGAATAGGAAGGAATGATAACAAAGGGTTGTGGCTCGGACAGAGTCTGAGTCAGCTGGGTTTGATTGGCCATTAATTAGAAACAATGAACATGGGCCAATCACAGATGCACTTGTTGCATTCCACAGCAGCAGATAATCAGTGTTTACATGTTGTTCCTGAGGCCTCCAGCTTCTGAGGAGGAAAAATCCTCAGGAAAGGATTTTTCATAAAAGATGTCTGTGACACCCAGACCTTCCCTGGTTCCTGGTGGTGCAACGTGACTCACTTGGTTGGCAAGACCCAGGTCCGTCCTCATCTTCAGCAGAACTCAAAGTCACCCTCACTATAATAGTGGCTCTATTTTCACCAGCCTCTCACATCCATTCTCCTTTCAATCCTTTCCTCTACCAGCATTTGGAGCCTTGGAGGATGAGGAGAGGGAAGGTTTTGCCACCACCCAGGCATGAGTACCTGCTAAGTAAATCTTACTGGGAAGTATAAGGTGGTTGGACCATCCCATTTGCTGTCTCTCCATGAGTTTGCTGAGCAGATTAACTCAGGCATCTTCCCAAAACAAATATTGGTGTTGCTCTGTCACATGGACCCATGCCAGAAACTCCTTCCCTCTGGAGCCATCAGTGCTGGCACACCAAGCCTTCCCCCTCCCCATCACTGTGGCCTTCACCTTCTCTTGCTATGCCCACCCTCAGGTGATTGTTTTTTCTCTCTTTGCCCGTACAATATCTTGCCATCCTGTGGGAAGAGGCTTCCCACTCTCCAGATGGTCTGGGTTGCAAATGGGCTCATTCGGGCTGGCACCCCTCAGCCCTGGGCCAGTCTGGAGTGCTCTCTAAGGAAGGTTGTGCCCTTGTGTCCTCCTGATTCCATCATTTCCTTAGGATGCCTCACAAATTTCTGGGCTCAGCCTTTCATCTAGGCCTTATTCATGTTTTCTGAGAGGATCTTGGGGTTTTCGCTTGTAGTGTGAGATGCTGGTTAGTGCAGGATGCTGGATGGATGTGAGACTGACCCAGAGGGACAGCAGAAAGGCTTTGGCAGTGACCCACATTGCCCAGAAAATGCTGTCACCTTCCACCCAAGGGCAGCCTTTGAATTGCCTTGTGGATAGGCTGGGAATGGCAAAACAACCAGAGATGGAGAAAGGACAGAAAATGTCTGTTCCCTCACCATCAGCTCTGAGATCTGACTTTCTTACCTGTCAGGTGAATCAGTTCTGTCTGTAACAGATGTGGATCTGCCACTCTGGGAGCTTTGGGAAAGCCCAGGTTTGCTCCAGTGAAGAGCTCCAGCTTAATCATAAAGCAGGAGTATTTATGATTATGGCACTGATCTTAATCACAGAGGGTTCATGATGTCCCCAGATGATTTGTAGAAGAAATACTTCACCTTGGCGTGTAATTTCCCTTTACAGCATGGTTTTTAAAGCCAGGCCCACTCACTTGAAATATACTGAGTGACTTCTTGCTTTAGAAAGGGGAGCTGATATTATTGTTACTGAGGCAGGAAGGGAAAGCATGAGGGAAAAAGGACATTTTAATACTGGAGTGGGTTGTTGTTGCTGCTGTTGTTGTTTTTCCCAAAGAGCTGATGGCAAAAGTAGAGAGAATTAGTCTCAGAGATAGAAGGG